TGAATCAGAACCATCAAGCATAGCTGAGCAGCCATAGCCTGAATCTGAACACCTCCCCTTTAAAAGCTCTGTATTTCTGTATTTCTAGAGGCAGGACGTTGGTTCTTTAAGACGGGAGTCTGCCAGCCTCCTCCTCATTTGCTGGCAAATTAACAAACTTCTCTTTCCTTCTCCTCAAACCACTTAATCCTCGTTCTTCTCACACGGCCTTGGGGACAAGTGCCAAGCTTCGGTAACAGGGTTTGGTGGCCCTTGGTGGGCCCGTTGTCCCCTGCAGAATGGCACCCCGTGACACCAGCTACAATTGGAAGAGGCAGGAAGCAGCCCCAGGTCAAGCCATGGGTCTCCGCTGGGAGAAACGTGGTCTTTCCGGGGGGGGAGAAAGGGAGGAACCGCCCCAGCAGGTGCCGGAGCCTGTTTAACCCCAGAGGAGCTGCTTTCTCTCCCTCCCCAGAGTCAGATGCAGCTCACGGCCAGCTGAACCTTGTTGGACAGAAGGAAGCGGATCTAGAAACATCCAGACACCCTCAGCCATTTCTCTGAGTGAGTTCCTCAGCGTGCTGCACGCCAAGACCCTCAATTGCACCCATTTGGGGACGGTTTGGGACCTTCCAGCCCTGGGGCAGGGCATTGGTCCGGAGGTGGTGCCATTTGGGATGGCGTCTGTCCCTTTGTATTCCCATTTGATTGACGGAACTTGGCATTTTCGATTGTTTGTGTTAGGAATTCCCTATGTTGTTTGTGTGTGATTTGTTTTTCTGAGTTTTGTCATTTTTTTTTTTTTTTTTTGACGAACAGAGTCTCACTGCTTGTCACAAAAATAAAGGCTCCAAGAAGACAGATATCCCTCCAGCAACACAACACAACAACAACATCTGGGCTCAAGCATCCTCCTGCCCTCAGAACAGACAACAAAAACAACAAGAAGTAGAGGACACAAAGGCATGTGCCACCATGACACGGCCGATTCGTTTATTTCTGTGGTATTTTTAGTTGTCCAGCTAATTTCTTTCTATTTTTTTAGTAAGAGATGGGGGTTCTCGCTCTTCGCTCAGGCTGGTCCTCGAACTCCTGGCACCCTTGAGCGGATCCTCCACCTTGGCCCCTCCAGAGTGGCTAGCTATAATACAGGTCTGAGCATTATATGTCTTAATGTAGGAGGGCTCTGATTTCTGTTCCAACTCTGCAAAGTCCTTGTGGATAAGAATTTTGGCTGCATGGTCAACTCACAGCCACAGACCTTTGTCTGAGAAAAGAACGACGTATCATATATGATTAATGCTCTGGCAACGTGTTGTGGGTACACAGGAGGAAGTGGCCATTGATGGAACCCCCCTTTTAAAAAATGATTATATTATCTTACAGCTGGAATTATTTTGTCAAAGGTCAGGTAAATGGGACGAGATACCGTATGTACAGTCTCTTATCAAATTGCGTAATAGGCCGGGCGCGGTGGCTCACGCCTGTCATCCTAGCACTCTGGGAGGCCGAGGGGGGAGGATCGTTCGAGGTCAGAGTTCGAGACCAGCCTGAGCAAGAGCGAGACCCCCGTCTCTACTATAAATAGAAAGAAATTAATTGGCCAACTAAAATATATATGAAAAAAATTAGCCGCGGAGCGTGGTGGTGCATGCCTGTAGTACCAGCTAGTTGGGAGGCTGAGGCAGGAGGATCGCTTGAGCCAAGGAGTTGGAGGTTGCTGTGAGCAAGGCTGACGCCACGGCACTCCACTCTAGCCTGGCGACAGAGTGAGACTCTGTCTGAAAAAAAAAAAAAAGAAAGAAAGAAAAGATCAGCAGTAAGAGGAGAAACCGGAAATGCAGATTTTGGAGTCCTTTTTTTGGCGCATATGGAAGGCAGTTGAAGCCACGGGAGTAGATGATACATCTAAGAAGAACATGAGATGTGAAAGGAGGGGACCCGAGATGGAACCCCACAAAGCACCCCCATCAGTATGGCAAGTAAAGGAACGAGCAGAATACTTGAGTTTTGAGTGCCTCCTCTTGGGGCTTTGACATCTTGTCGCGCTGAATGTCCCAAGAAATCTATAAGGTGGTCGTTTTGTCTCTCCTTTCCGCACCCAACCCCCTCAAAGTGAAATGGAATTAGAAGTGCAGGAGGAGAACTTAGGGGAAATAGGAAGTGGGATTTTCATCAGGGCAAAATGTTGCTAGTGGATCGAATAGGGGAGGAAAATGTGAAAAAATTGTTCCACACAATTGATCCATCAATATATTAGCCAAAATGGAGTCATATGGAATTTGATAATTGAAATTTTTATTACTTGACACTCTTA